CCTACACAAATCAGTACAATGGCTACACGAGAGGTCATAATGCAGAAACCCTCTAATAAAGAATTATTGAGTAGCACACCCCAAGAAAGAGCAGAAACACAGGGAAACCAAGGCTGTCAAAACTGTATCAAAACTACAAAACAAGGAAACCAGATAACCAAGACTTTGATCTACCACACAGTTAAACCAGAAGGGTGCCAAGATAGTTCTCCTGACTCTTGTACATACAATAGAACTACATATAAAGTTTGTAGAAAAGGTGTCCAATATCATTGTTATAACCCGAAGTCTGATCCTGATCGGTGGGCCTTACAAATCAAAACACATAGAACAAGAACTAGCTATAAGGTTTTTGTTAGGTATTGTTACCAATTGTGATACTAAGGAGGTTATATTGATGTTAAATTTAATTACAGCCGCAAGGTTGTTAGTAGGGCAATACTGGAAGAAGGAATCTTTGCCTACTTTGCAAGAGTGGTTTTTTAAAGTATCCTATCTGGCGGAAATGGCAAAGATTTCGGCTTTTTTAAAGGATCAATCGCAAGAGAAGTTTTTTGTGGTATGGGAAAAATGGATAGATTTTATACAACATAAGTTGGATATAAAAAATATTACTTAGTTTATCAATAATTTATATACAAATTTTAATATTTTATAGATTGTATTATTTCTTTTTCTTTTTATATGTTTTATTATTATTTTACTTTCTTATATTTCTTTTCTTCTTTCTTTCTCTTTATTCTTCTTTTTTTAAGTATTTTCTTTTTTTTCTTTAATATTTATGTCTTTTATATATATATATATTATTGTTAATTATTCTATTAGTAGTTTAAGTAACGTATTTAGACTTATCTATGGTTTATATTTTTTTTTAAGAATTCAAAAAAATTTAATTAAGCCTATATTCAACTCTGGGAAAGTTGAGGGAGGGAGTGGGAGGGTTGGGGTGGGTTGGGGAGGGTTGTTTTTTCTTATTTTGTAAAATTTTAAAAATTTTCAATAAAAAAAAAGAACTAGCTATAAGGACCAGGCACTCTTAGGGATCTCCCAATGGAAATCCAATCCACACTCCAGTTTTAGCGTCACCTTTGATGTTTGCAAAGCAGTTAATTATTGGACTCCAACATATGGTTGCGGAGGGATTGGTAATATTCACAACTTTATCCCAAAACATAAGTACTTGTGCCCACTAGATGGATATGCAGTCAAATGTAAGTGGTGGTCATGTATTAAGTGGCATACCCAAGACCCAAAAGAGATAGACCACATCTTGTTTGAAAAGAATGAAACAAAAGCAAATTCCTGTGGAACGGATAACTGTAATTTGGTGATTCTCACAGTCAAGAATGGCAGTTGGTTCCTGGAACAAAATAGGTGGGAAAGTAAGAAATGGCTGTTTGGGATAGGAATAGATACAAATGGCTATGACCCAATGTCAGAAATAGAAGTCAAAATTATAACTGCAACCAAAAGACCAGAACAAAAATCATTATTTTGGTCATATTATGAGGAAATGGAGAAAATAAATATTCCTGAAGTATCTAGACATATAACCAATACCTTTGTTAAGTTAGCAGAAGACATTGCCCATACTTTAGGCGTGTCTAACTGTTTTGTGTGTGGTGGAACAAACATGGGAGAAAGATGGCCATGGGAGGCACAAGAGTTAAATTATACCAAGGTACTAGAAATGTCTAAAAATAATAATTTAACCTATACAAGTGGGAAAGCTGGTGATTGGGGTCTCACTTCCAACTTGGTAGGACATGTATGTTACTAAAGAAACAAAACAGAATCTTGTGTAGCAGTAGGTGACCTCCTATGCACAGGGACATGGGAAAATGGTAAATGGTGGTCTGGAACCAATGAGACCACTGCTATGGATCCTGGAATTAACAAAACTGCTATGACTATGAAGGTTTGTAGGCCTGCAAGTCTTGTTAATTCTAGGATGTATTTTAATTCCTTGCTTGCTCCCCTATCTTATAGCCATGATTCGGAGGATCTCAGAAAGTACAGCCCAATTAACAGCAAAACATGAAACAATGTTAGCCTTATGGGAATATAAAATGGTACCTTCAGGAGATCCGGAATCAGAGGTAGAATAATGGAAGTTTAAGCTGGAAAACTTCCAAAAGGGGGGAGTAAAGTGGGAAAGAAATAGAATAACATAGAATAAAGAAGAATAAAGTAAAATAATAATAATAATGAAAAATCACTAAAAGCAAAAATCATGTCTCTGCATAATCTCTGAAAGAAAGCTGTGTTAGCCAAAAGCTGTATTAACAGTACGTGAATGACCTAATGCATATTTAGAAACATTGTATAAAAGTAAAAACTGCCTTCATTGTATTCCCATGAGAAATGGAGCTAACATGTGAGAAACTATCTGAATGTTACACAAAGTAGATTCCATATACAATGTAAGATTCCATCTATGCCTCCTTTGTTCCTGAGAAAAAGAAACCTATAAAGCTTTAGTTTAGACCCTCCCCCTTGTTCAGAAATTTGTTGATTGTTAAATCACTTCTGAACCTTTTGCGCAAAAATAAAAATCTCTCTTTCACCCTCGGAATTTCGTAAAAGTCCTTTTTTTTTTAAGGCTTTATTTTTCCACAAGATAAGTCTTTCTGTTTAGTGAGTAGATAATGCACAATTAGTTTATTTCAATATAGGAAACTGAAAATCATTTGCTGTAAGCTTTATTTTATTTTCCATTATTTTAGTTTCTATACCCTAAAGCTCTGGTTTATGTTAACATTTTCTGATACCCTTGCAAGAAGTAATAGCAAAAGAAACTGGATCTTATAATATATCATATCTGAAATTGTTTAGTTAAAATGCTTAAGGAAAGTAATAACACTTGTATGCAATTTAGGGCCCTAAAACAACAACCTCTGCCCAATATATATTTCTTAAAATCAGTAAAATTAATGAACTCCGGGATATAAAATAGCCTTCTTTATTACTGAGCTTTCGTCAACTAGCTGTTGACATCATCAGAGTAAGGGATGAAGATTAGGAGAACCTGTACATACACTTGTATGACCGTTATAACTGTCAAGATATAGAATGTACATATGGCATGCTCACAACCTGCTCGCTCACATTTATAGAGCTAGTTGATGAAAGCTCAATAATAAAGAAGGGTATTTTATATCCCAGAGTTCATTAATTTTACTGATTTTAAGAATGTCTATACCTGGGATTCCAGTATTTAGAGTTATCAAATATATGTATGTGTCTTGAGTGTTTTTGATACACCTGTCGGTCCAAATATGGAAGGAAGAAATGTATATATACACTCACACACAATTTTTTTTGTATGTAACTGCATTTATATGCACCTATTTGTATCTGCAGCACCTTGATAAGACCAGAACACATCCACTCCAATAGCAAAACCCAAATAAGCATGGATTAACACAGAGAAACTATAAAGCAGAAAACAATAAAGGAGAAAAACCCCATCCCCACCAACACTGGCAGAGACAGTTACTGTATATAATAAACAGGGAGCAAATGCTGTACTCATTAGCACTAACATAGTTGGTTAACAAAATAACTGCAAGCATATAACCGAGTTCAGAGAAGACCAGGAAGTTCATTTTTTGGTAAGACAGTACCTCCTGGTCTCACCACACAAGAAGTTTAATGCTCCTTCCATCTCTCCATTGTTGAACTTCTGCGATTATTTAAGAAAACACATTCTTCAAATTATAGATGAACAATGCAACTGTAAATTAAGGTACTGCTTATTTGAAAATTAAATTCCATTAAAATTTATTGATTTCACTTTCAATAAAAGATACTTATATAAAATATATTGGTATTTGCTCCAGAAATTTAAATGTAATCATATCCACACAATATTTTCAATCAGTACCAAATGATAATTTTCAAATTTCAGGATGAATTAATGGATTCATTACAGCCAATACACCATATGTTATCAGTACCAAATAATAATTTTCAAATTTCAGGATGAATTAATGATTAATGGATTCATTACAGCCAATACACCATGTGTTATACTTGGGGATTAAACAATTTCTGCTCTAAAGAATGTTGTCACTATGTTATTTCTTAGATTTAGCTTCATCCTACAATTAAAGTAAACAGAACCTTTGTCCACATTTCAATCAGCATATAACTGCAATCAAATGGCATAAATATAAGATCTCCCACATCCATTTGGGGGAATTGGTAAACTATTGTTTGAACAACTGTCCAAGTCAGAACTACAATCCTGGTTTAGAATGGTTTTACTTGAAGCACAGTTCACCAGTTGGGATACAATAGCAGAGGGCTTTTCAACCTTTTCACAGATTGTACTATTTTTAGGACATGACAATATTTGAATACACTAGTGCTTAGCAAAGTGTCAAAAACTTGATGACTAATAAGGGGGGGGTTGGGCTTTACTGGTTAGATTCATTTGTTATTATAGAAATGGCTAGTTTAGAATATTATGGAAAAGTAAAAAGTTGAGGTTCAATGTTAATGCTTCCTTCTACTGCAACAGAGGAAGTCAATGCTTTTTCTTTTTCCCTTCTCCCCCTCACTTTTCCCTTTTTCTCTCACCCTTTGCTTGCAAAAGCCTCTCACTCACTCTCTTTCACTTACTTTTCTCACAAAAATCACTCATTCACACTTTGCTCGCAAAAGCCCCTCCCTTGCTCTTTCACTCACACTTTGTTTGCAAAAGCCTCTCCCTCGCTCTTTTACTCACTATTTTGCTCACAAAGGTCTTGGCTGGAGAGGGAGAGGAAAAAAAACACTGAGAAAGAGAGAGAAGAGGCTTTTGCTGCACTTCAAATATTTGACACTATATAAGCATTAATGCCGTGGGCCATATATTCTTCACAAAAATCGTAATTTATTAAACAATAGCTAAATGCCCACACAGCATACAAGACCAAAACCAAATAAATTGTATTATACTTAGCATATTATCTGAAAACGTCATAAACATGAATTCAAAAGCAATAAGCCATTACCCATTGTTGCAGGGGAGAAAACTTTCCAGTCACTGCTTTTAAGACTTCCTGACTAGCAATACCACCAAGTGCAGCTGTTAGAGGAGCTAAAGAGCCCTGAGACATCCTTGATAGCCATTTCACAATGTCTTCATTTACCTGATGCTGTAATTAAAACAAATAAATATTCCAGATATGAAAGCATATATAAATTCTGTAAAACGAACAATTCATCCAGAATTTATTCCTCATTTAAATCCAGCCCTTCTTCTTACCATTGTAATCATAATCTGGCAAAGAGATACCAGATTAAAAAGCAGCCATAAAATTTTAAAAATGAATAACTGAGGTGTAAAAACAACTGCCCTGCTACAAAGCACAAGATCATGCTGCAGCACTCTCTCCCCAGCTCATCCACACCCACATGGCATGGCAGCAATCCCTAACCAGCCCACAAGCACTTACCACAGCACTTACCACCTCACTCCTCGTGTTCACCTACCCTCTGGCTTACCTGCAAGCCACCCAGGACATGCAATTTCCAGAGACTTTCCCATTAATTTTGTTTACAGGAAATTGGCAGAAAGTTATTAATCATAGTCATGTGAGGTACTTGCTTAATGAACCATAATTTTCCCTTAACGACAGCAATGGGAACCGCCAGGATTGGCATCACAAAGTAATATGACAATTTGATGTCATGATTTATTACTGCATCAATTCGAAACTGAAATTCCAGTCCAATTACTGTCATTAAATGAGGAGTATCCATACATATAATTCTCTACCCAAACTGGAACAGAATTTGTCATATTCAGATCTCCACTTAACTTTCATAGTTAAATATCACTAGTGTTCAGAAATACCTAATTCAAAACAATTGTGGGAATCTGTTTAGTATTCTTGGTAGAAATATAAAGAAATATATAGTAAACATAACTCTGTTTGTATTTGTAAACTGTCATTTATTAGCCAACATGGTGCCTCCCAGTCACAGAATTTTCAAACATGCATGTCAGTTTCATTTATTACCTAGAAAACTGAACTGAAAAGTAAACTGAAGTTTTAAATATTACTGAACTTTACCTTGCCTTCCAGGATTTTACTTAAGGATAGAGCTATCTTCACCATTTCTTCAGCATCTTGAAGACATCTAGAGCAGAAACAAAACAATGTAGCAATCTTACACTATTCTTAAAATAAAGCACATACAGACACACTTCATGAGATATCTGATATTACTTTTATTTTTTATCTTTGGTCTACCTGTCTAGTCTTTTCCAAGGACCTGGCATAGGCAGATGTGGATTTATTATTTATTAAATTTGTATACTGCTGAATTATGCAGACTACCAGCAGACAGATAAAATATAAAATATCCACAATAACAAGACCTAAATGCTGTTGAATAAAATATCTAGAGCATGAAGAAATAAAAAAATAAACTGCAATCTTGATATTAAAATTGGAAAAAAAATTCAAAACCAGGGGAATTGCATAAAAAAAGAAAAATGATAATAACAATGAACAATAATATTTATTTTAAAAAAAATAAATCCCTGGAAAAGTAGAACAGAAATACCCTTCCAGTATTTGAAAAGTTCTCAATCAATAAATTCTGAAAGCTGAAAAATATAATCACAAAATATTTGAAAGGCACTGGGTTGAAAAAAACCTGCCTAGTTTAACGAAGAGAAGGACAAGGGGGGACATGATAGCAGTATTCCAATATCTCAGGGGCTGCCATAAAGAAGAGGGAATTAAGCTATTTTCCAAAGCACCTGAAGGCAGGACAAGAAGCAACGGGTGGAAACTAATCAAGGAGAGAAGCAACCTAGAACTAAGGAGAAACTTCCTGACAGTGAGAACAATTAATCAGTGGAACAGCCTGCCTCCAGAAGCAGTAAATGCTCCAACACTGGAAGTTTTTAAGAAGAGACTGGACAGCCACTTGTCCGAAATGGTGTAGGGTTTCCTGCCCGAGCAGGGGGTTGGACTAGATGACCTCCAAGGTCCCTTCCAACTTTACTAATATGAACATTTATTATTGGGCTTTTTAAAAATAATTGCTGTTGCTTTGGAGAAGGGAACTTGTTGCTGTTACCTAATTTCAGACAGGGTTCTTTCTTTTGCATCTTCATTTGCTCTTTAAAAACTCATTTGATCACAGAATGTTTTAGATTTTTTTCAATAACAATAGTTTATTTTAATTCTGAAAATATATGCTGGATTAATTTTTATAGACAATATTGTAATGCAGATAAGTCATTTGGGATGTTTTTCCACCAATTTATTATAATGTGTATAGAATGCTGTTCTAGTACAGCAAGGTCATAAGAATTATGAGAACTTAGCCCCAAAAGAAAGCAACTGCTCAATAAAATGCAATAACTCTTTCAATTAGAGTTAAGATAATATTCAAGTTGACATCCACTATCAACAGAATCCAATAAATTGGAGACTGATTCATTGAGCACTATGTGCCCCTGACACATTTCTGATACTGAAATCAAGAAAACAAAATCAGAAGATATCTTGTCCCACTGCTATCCTTCACTCTACTAATGCCTCGAGGTCTTAAGATTTCCATGACATTGAAGGCTGAAATCATACCCTAGCAAAGTACAATAGCACAGTTGTCTGAAAAGTTCACACTGTAGGAAAGGTTTTAAATTTTATTTATACCTTGGTTTTGGAAGGCTTTCATGCCAATAGATGAATAAAGATTATCTGGAAATGTTTTTGTTTAGAGAAAGAAAAACAAGCCCAAAGAGGTAGAATCATAGTGTTGAAAGGGACCATTTTGCCATTAAATCTAAGCCAGGGGTCCCTAACCCCCAGTCCATGAATCGGTACCAGGCCGCAGCATGCCAGAAACTGGGCCGCACAAACAAGCAAAGCCCCATCTGGGGGATCAGGCTGTACACAAAACCATGCCCCCTCCGGTCTGCGAAAAAAACTCTCTCCACGTAACCGGTCCCTGGTGCCCAAAAGGTTGGGGACCTTTGATCTAAGCCTCCTCTATGTAGGAAACCAAAGAAAACCACCCTCAACAGATGGCTGCCTAACCTTTGCTTGAGCTATTAATTTGAGTTTCTGAAATCGTCAAATAGATTGCAGTTTTTCTGAGCTACTATGAAATTTAATACTTTAATTTCCTCAATTATTCCATCAGACCAAAGATAATGGAAGGTTCTACCTGCTCAGAGGGCATACAGAATAAATAACAGGCAATTTTCAAGCATTTCCAGGGCAGAATAGCCTGAAAAAAGTTAGGTATGTACAACTGTCTTCTGGGTCTGTCCATCAGTCCTGAAAGATTGATATAATGAAAACTACTGAAAACAGTAACTTCATCAAAAGCAGATGTAAAAAAAAAAAATGATTCAAAAGCATCAGTTAAGTCATTGTTGAACTAAACCCTGAGCTTTTAACTCCTCCTGCTTTCTGAAAGAGAGAGAAAAAAAATACTTTTTGTTTGAGTCAGTTTTGACTAATTCCTGCAGGTTTGGGGCAAGATTTTTCTAGAGCTGAGAGGGAGAGACTAGCCAAATATTTCCCAGATAGCTTTGTGCCCCAGATAAGACAATAATTCATGATCTCCCAATTTTTAGTCTGGTGCTTTAACTACACCAAACTATGCTAAACTGCTTCATAAGGATTATTTGGACTTTTTAAAAATGAGCTGAACACATTTTTTTGGGAAGATTCAAGGCATCAAATAGTACCTCTGCAAGGAAAGCTGTGCCCCATCCTGATAAGAAAGTGCTTAGCTTTGATGTTACCTCTGTCTGGAGGACATTGAGGAAAGTTAACATTCAGAAAGCAGCAAGCCCAGATAATATCCCTGGCATATTCTTAGGGAGTAGGCTGATGAGTTGACTTCTGTTCTTACAGATATTTTCAATTACAGCAGGCAGTGATTTAATCATGTTTTAAGACTGCCATTATTTTGCCAGTGCCCCAAAAAATCTTCAATCATGGGTCTTAATGATTATCGACTTACATTCATCATTATGAAATGTTTTAAAAGGCTGATAAAGGTCTTTACTGTATCCAGCCTCCCTGCAGCATTTGACACATTTCAGTTTGCTTATTGTCCAAATCATTCCATTGAGGATGCTATTTCCTATGTTCTCCATCTGAGCTTGACACACTTAGAAGAAAGAAATATTCATGTGCGAATGCTGTTTGTCGACTTTAGTTAGCATAGAATATGATCATCCCTCAGTATTTAGTAGATAAATTGGGCCTGTGGCTTCAATACTCTTTTGTGCAACTGAATTCTTGATTTTCTCACTGATATGCCCCGTATGTGTGACAGTTTTGGCTAATATTTCTAACACTATATTCAGGTTCAACTCAGGACTGTGTCCTAAGTCCACTGTTGTTCACAGTGCTATGCCATGACTGTTGTGCAAGGTTTGCTACCAACCATATTGTGAAGTATATGAATGATACAACAGTTGTGGGACTTATTCAGGATGATACTGAAGTGATTACCGGGAGGAGGTAGAGGGTTGATTACTGGTATAATAAAAACAGCCTGGTTTTAAATGTAGGAAAAACAAAAGAGATCATTTCGATTTCACAAAAAGCAAGCATAGACATATATCCCTGATGAGCAGATTAGTTTGATCACTCAATGAGTGAGACACTGGTGAAGCGGCCACAGCAGCGCCTACATTTTCTGCATCTATCAGAAGAGCACATTTTTTTCCACTATCCTTACAACTTTCAATAGAGGGATGATTGAAAACATCCTGTTGTACTGTATTACTGTGTAGTTTGCAAGTATTACTGTTTCGGACAGAAAGGCTGTGCAGAGAGTGGTGAGGATGGCAGAAAAGGTGACCAGTTTTCTTTATTACCTTCTGGGAGAAGGCTTCACAGTATCTGAAGCAGAAACAACTAGACTCTGTAATAGCTTTATACCATATAACACCAACCTTGTTAACGGTCACGATTCTTTTATCTGTCTGTGATTAGTATGTATGTATGTGTATATATATATATATATATATATATATATATATATATATATATATATATATATATATATATATATATTTGTGTGTGTGTGTGTGTGTGTGTGTGTGTGTATTAAACAATAAAATATACGAACACCAGGAAGTTATAAAACTATAAAAAGGTTTAATAAAACCAGAATAAAACCAAGCTATCGCTGGCATCTGCCAGCATCATCAGGGTAGTCTCCAGTCGATGGGAGAAGCTATTTATAAATGTGGCATTCTTTGCGCCCGGCTTCTTGACCTCGTCATGGGTCCCAGCCAATCCACCTGCGTTTTGATCGTAGTTTCTGTGTTGCAAGCTGTAATTTCCTCACTTTCCTTACTTGTGCTGGTACCGCAGCTCTTCCTCCCTTCTTTGCATAACTGTGAGTCGGGGGGATTCCTTAATTCCACGTAATTAGATGTGCACTGTCTGTGTTTATGTTGTTTATTCTCCTCATCCTCCTTCTTAGTACTCCCTATTTCTCTTCTCCTCCCCCTGTTTCTCTGTTTACGATCCTCTTTCAAAACTATATCCTCATTGTTTGTCTCTGTAGCCCAAGATTCCATTGTGTTTACATCGTCCTGTTTCCCGATCCTTCATATCACTTTATTAACTCCCCTTTCTATTTTCTCTTCAATGGGGGTGATTTTAACACCCTCTCCAGAATTCGTGGCGCCCACAAATTGATTGCTGACCCCTTTTTCCGAGGGGGCTGTCCCTTCACTGTTGTTTGTGTATTCGCTCATTACTTGGGGGTATGCAATCTTCCTTAAAAGGAGAGAGGTGGAATCCTTACGGTCGTGACTTGCATCTCCTTGTGCATTCCTACGGGGAGTCGTTCCTCTCAAATGTCTATAGGAGCGTGTGGAAGCTCTAAGACTATAGCGAACAGGCTTCTCATCTCCCCGTTGTTCTCCTGCGTTCCCAAGGTAATAACAGTTCAAACGGGAAATGTCATTAATGAAGTTAGTTGCAGGATCGCCGGTGGAATTACATGTGGCATTCCAATCCTTCGAATCATGATTGTTTAATAACCCAAAGTCTATACCAGATCGCTTTTTTGTCAAACTCCTCACTGTTCCCGGGGAGACCCTCAATTCATCGGCACTTGGCTCTTGGCTGTCAATCCACTCCTGT